AAGGATCTTAAAGAGTACTATTGGTGGCCTGGAATGAAAAGGGATATTGCCTTATATGTTGGGAAGTGTTTAACTTGCTCAATAGTCAAAGCTGAACATCAAAAACCATCCGGATTATTGCAACAACCTGAAATTCCCCAATGGAAATGGGAGCAGATATCTATGGATTTCGTTACCAAGCTTCCTAGAACTGCTAAAGGTCATGACTCAATTTGGGTCATAGTGGATCGACTGACGAAATCTGCTCACTTTCTCCCCATTCGGGAAGACTTCAAGATGGAAAAGTTGGCCCAAATCTACATCGACAAAATTGTTTCTCTGCATGGTGTACCCCTATCCATCATTTCTGATAGAGATAGTCGTTTTACATCACGATTTTGGTGGATGTTACAGAAGGCACTAGGAACCAAGATAAATTTGAGCACAGCTTACCACCCTCAGACAGATGGGCAGACAGAGAGAACAATACAAACATTGGAAGACATGCTACGGGCGTGTGTCATTGAGTTCAAAGGAAATTGGGATACTCATTTGCCTCTAATTGAGTTTTCCTACAATAACAGTTACAACACGAGTATCCAATGTGCCCCATACGAAGCATTGTATGGACGTAAGTGTCGTTCTCTATTGTGTTGGACAGAAATCGGAGACAGACAATTGACTAGACTCGACCTTATCCAGGAAACAACTGACAAGATTGCTATCATCAAAGATAGGCTTAAAGCCGCCAGAGATCGTCAGAAAAGTTATGCGGATAATCGTCGAAAACCATTAGAATTCCAAGTAGGAGACAAGGTACTTTTAAAAGTGTCGCCTTGGAAAGGGCTTGTACGTTTTGGTAAGAAAGGAAAACTAAGCCCGAGATATGTTGGACCCTTTGAAATCATTGAAAGGATTGGTCCGGTGGCTTATAAACTCCAATTGCCCCAAGAGTTAAGCGCCATTCACGCCACATTCCACGTCTCCAATCTTAAGAAATGTCTAGCCGACGAAGCATTGATAGTACCCCTGGAGGAAATTAAGATCAATGATAAGCTAAACTTTGTTGAGGAACCGATAGAAATCCTTGACAGGGAGGTAAAACAACTCAAGCGGAGTAAGATTCCGATTGTGAAAGTTCGATGGAACTCAAAACGCGGGCCGGAGTACACCTGGGAGCATGAGGACTTCATGAAGGAAAAGTATCCACAACTTTTCCCATGCAATGAAAAACGATGACATAGAATGAATTTCGGGACGAAATTCTTTTTAAGTGGGGGATACTGTGACAACTGTCAATTCAGGTCATTCTCGGACTCATGCATCTTTATAAAAACCATTCATGCACAACATGCCATGGCCTAGTAGTATAAATTAGGTCAAAATCTTGCATAAACTAGGATCCAACTAAGATCTAAAGACTAATATACTTGACTCTTACGATTCTAGTAAGTTGCTTAACTACAATAGGAAATGCCAATACCATAATTAGAATGAAACTTCAAACTTTGTTACAATTGAAAAAGGGTATAAAACCCTAAAACTAAATTAAAATATTCTAATTACATTCCAATATGATGGTGAATATCAAACAATGTTCCAAAAACTCTAAAGAGCCCAAAAATCCAAATTTATAAACTTTAAAGCTTAAAAACTTTATAAAATTTCTATAAACTTCCTAATACAAAATTTTTATTAATCAAATTATAGATTATAATCAATGAAATAGAAATTTAAATTATCATACATTAATCATAATTTATTAGTTAAAAAAAACAAGATTTTTAAATAAATCAAAAATTGCTTAAAGAGACATTTTATAAAAAGTTGGGTTTTATAAAAATTGAAGGGAGAATTATATAATTTGAATTTTAGGAGAGAGGGAGCCTCTCTCACTCATAAAAATTCGTGCATCCTCTCCCCCATGCCCTCTCTCTTCCCAAAACTTCAATCATTAAAACACAATCCCCACTCTTCCACTTCTCTCTTCACTCTCTCTCACACTCCACCCTTTCAACTCTCAAACTCTCCTCCTCTCTCTCCAAACCCACGAAAATCATCAGCCAAGAACACCTCTCCACACACAAATCTTCATCTTCTAAGGTTGTTCTTCAAGGTATTCACGAAAATCCTTCATTTTCCTTACTTTTCCTTCTTGTTTTTAAAGGGTTTTCTTGTACTTCTCCTCCTTCTACACCATTCTTTATGAACATTCATGAACATGTTCATGAATGTCGTGTTTGATCATGATGGTGGTAGGGTTTCACCCAAGAACAACATGCATGTTGTTTAATGGTGAAATCCAAGGACCAAAACCTATGTCAAACACTAAAGTTTGGATTTTTACAAGTTTTAAAGGTTCATACACCTTATGCATTCAAGTATTTCCTTTAAAAACATCACTATGACAAACATATGTCCATGCATGGTCTTCAAACCGTGATGCATGTGATGAACACCAAGCTAAAGAGTTTGGTGATCAAAATACATTGTTAATAGTGCATGTAAATGATTTTGTCTATAAAAGTATCTAAAAGTTCTTTTATGCTCAAATCAAAATTTTTCCAGATTCCCATTAAGGTAATATGAATATCTGGAAAATCCCAAGAGTTTTTATCGTTTCCTTGATTTATTAAAATTGTTGCAAGAAAACAAGGGCATAAATCACATAAAATACTTCCAGAGGTCTATAAATACGGAATAAATTCGTGGATGACCCCTATGGTGAATAATGACCTCTCATTAAATTTCATCGATTTATGTTGCTGTTTAGTATGATTTTCGATTTTCTTTTTGGTTTGAGTGCAATAAATCACAAAACCACTTTAAAGAGTGTGAAAATTGTATCTAACAATTTTCGCAGCTCTTACCTGTGGTGGGAGACTCAGAAAAATAATTTCAGAGTTTTTCATCATGCCTTTCTATTTTTCCCAATTTTTGGTAGTTATAATGGCCTAAAAATAGGCAAAATAGTTCTGATTATCCAAAATTCATGAAAATTTACCAGAATGTTATGTTGTACATTAGGAGGTTACATAAAAATTTTGATGATTTTCCTCTACTGTATACTATTTTTCTCCTATTTTCTAAGGTTAAATACACTTAAATACACTTAAATACACATAAATACCCAAAACCGGATTATACAACATGAAAACCACTTTTGGTATTTTTCCCAGATTACTTACACTGTAAATGATGTTACAAAAGTTTTTGGTAATTTGTTTTAACTGTTTATTATTTATTCTTCAATTAATGATTATTTAAAGGGATAAAACAAGGAAAAATAGAAATACTCACTGAAAAATATCTTTTATATTTTTCCCAGCCTAGTTATGTATAATAACAGTTAAATAAAAAGTTTGGGTAATTTTGGAAACTGTTTTCTATTTATTTCAATTTTTATTGGAATAAATGCTCAAAAATCGTAAAATATAATTAAACAGCTTGGAAATCCATTTTTATATTTTTCCTAGCTTAGTAATGTATAATAACAGTTAAATAAAATATTTGAGTAATTTTGGAAACTGTTTTCTATTTATTTCAATTTTTATTAGAATAAATGCTCAAAAATCATAAAATATAATTAAGCAGCTTGGAAACCCATTTTTATATTTTTCCCAGCTTAGTAATGTGTAATAACAGTAAAATAAAAAGTTTGAGAATTTTTATCCTTTGAATGCTATTTTTCGTGAATTTATGTTGTTATGAAGGCTTAAAAATTTGGAAAATAGTTAACCATATCAAAAATTGAAGGAAAATTTTCTGGAAAACCTCTATTGTATTTAGAATGAACAATACGAGGTTTGACAATTTTTGGAAACTATTTGATAATATTTTACATTTTTAGGAATTTAAAACACCTTTAAATGTGTTGAAACACCCTTAAATTTATATTACTAAATCTGGAAAATTAATATCCTAAAGTTGTATTTATCGCATGACTTGTAGAATTTCATCATTTCAGAAAAAGTGTAACCAATTAATATAAAATCCAATATTAGAACATAAATTGGCATTTCACTATATGTAGAGTTTAGTATATTAGCATTAGATTTCGACATGGAAACTCACTAGTGTGTGTTTGATGTCATAGGATCCCGGCATTAAGACGTTGGTGTATTCCAAGGCACCACTTGTATCTACTCGAAACATTGTGAGTATTCACCACTCCCCTATTTTCAGTTTTTATGTTTTGGGGTGGAAAAGCATGTCCCGAAAAACTATTATTTGCATGTAGTATTTAAATCGATTTATATCAAACATGATTGCTATTGTATTGCTATGTCTCTCTATGTATGTCTATGCAACACGGAACATGAGAACTTATCGTAGTAAGGCCCTTCCGTTATCTCTAACCATTAACTCTTTGAGCCAATGGTCATTATGGATAGCGCTATTAGGAATTGACAACTCCTCACTCGCCCTCTTGCTGGAGTGCATGATACCATATTCATCTATGGAACGATAAGCATAGATCTTGATAGGGCTTCAGTCATAGGTTTGGTTGAGACTCATTGTTTGCTCATACACATACAAACTCGTTTCTCGTTATAGCAATAAACTTGTTATCAATAATAACAATCAACTTTGTTTCTCATTAAAGCAATGTACTTGTATTTATGAAAAGCCTTATTCCAAATCTTGATTTTATAAACTTGTGAACTCACCAACTATTTTCATAGTTGACGCTCGTTTTACATGCTTTTTCAGGAAATAATTAGTAAGTGGATATAAAGATTCATCATCATAGAGCATGCTGCATCGTGTTGAAGTTATTTATGAAGTTATATTTTGAACAATGTTATTTTGGAAAAACTTGTACTTGTTTCTATTAGGCTATGGGTTGTAAACTTTTGAATATTGCTATGGTGATGTATCTTTATCTTTTGCAATGAAACCGTTATCGCTGTCATATCTTGCGTTTCCGCTTTAGCGGGGTGTGACACTTAAGAAAGAAGATCCCAAATTTAAGCCAAATTGAGACAGTGTGAAAGTGGGATTTGGCAAAGAAAGACGAAATGAAGATTTGTTTTCTTGCGGTTTTGCTCTTCACAGGCGAGCATCACAGGAAGGACCATATGTGCTCCCCAATTCCCCTTCCTTGTGTAGGTATACCCCCACCATCATTCCAATTAATTGACCTTTTAGGCTTTTGTTTTTATTTAAATCCAAATGGACTTATGAATTAACAAATCTCATTTATTATAACCCTAATAAGTTAAAAATATAATTTGGTTAGTGGATTATGAGGTAATCGGCACTAGATTTTGACACAATGAGTTAACTTTCTTTTTTTAATTAATCTAGAAGTTGCAAAAAAAATTTACTAGTGCACTTGTATATATATAAAAAAATTACACTACTACAAAAAATTCAAGGCGTGCACATACTACTTGCTCTAAGCCATTTCCACCACTGAGTGGGCATGAAGTTGATTTGGAAGATGATTTTGCAAGATTTAAGGAAAAACTGGGCAAGGGTTTAATAATCAGAGGTTGAGGTTTATTTGTTGGATGGAATGGGAAAAAAAGGTGGAAGATTTTTTTTCAAATTTTAAGTTGGTGGAAACTTAATTCCATAAAGTTTATTGTACTTTCTTATGTGATGATGTATGTTTTAAGAATGTCAGTCTCTACCCGTTGTATCAGATTCAACATTTAGTGTTGGCAGAGGGTGATTGATGCTATTAGAAGCTCCCTTACAGATGCAACCGCGAAAGCTTTGATTTGTACCCATGATTCGATACATTCCACCCTGGCACCCTGATTGATATTTAATTAAAAAGTCAGGCTGTATATGTGGAAGAATTGCAAGAAAAGTTGGCAGAAATAAAACTTGGTAATTATTTTTGCATAATTATAACTTTATAACTCAATACTAATTGTTTTTGGTTTTTAGATGAAATGGGAAATGGTGAAGCGATTCGAAGGATGAAAACTGAAGATTGGTGTTTTGACTTTTGATGTTGTTTTCATGTTATGGAATTTTGGTGGTATCGAACTACTTCTATGTTATTTTGGTTTTCATGTTTTCGTTAAAACTTCAAAACTTGGTTGCTTTAATGTTTGTTTCAACTATGTAATTTACTCTAAACTTTTATTAAATAATCACTAGGAGCGCTCAGCGTAACCCGGATGAAACCATCCGTTGACTAAATTTTTGGATGAGACGGAAACATATGGACGTGATTCACTCACCTCGAAATCCTCTCTTTATTTGCTCTAGTTTTCTCAACTCTTTCAACACCTTCCAATAATCCTCTCTTCGACCATATACTCCTCAGTTCCTCCATTCCATCTCTCTACCAGCTGTGTTGATTAGTTTAAAAGTGTTGAATTCATCAGGAAAACCAGAGTTCTTTAATTTAGGTTCGTTAAAGACCAATTTAGAAGCATCGAGTTATAAAACAGGGTTCTTTAAACTGGTGGTTGGGATTGGAATTGGAATTGGAATTGCTGCAAGTGCCAAGATTCAATTGTCAAGATATAAATAGATGGAGCCTTTGTAATTTTCTCTAAAATTCTATTAAAAGTACTGAGCGCAATGCCGACACCCGGATGAAAACATCGGGTGACCAAGTTTTTTGACGGGGGGAAACATATAAAGTCAACAAGCCGCCTGGAATCATAAGCCATCGAGTTGGGGTTCCGTCGAGTTCAACCAAGGTTTGGAACATTTTTCACTCACCTAGTAATTCCTCTCCTTTTTTGCTCCTAGTTCTCTCTAACGTTGCAAGAAGACAAACAATCTACCATTACTCCTTTCTTCGACCCTGTATATAGAACAAGTCATCAACAAAACCACAATGTCTTTAATTAGGGTTCGTTAGAGATCAATTTAGAAACACGGGATTCTTAAAATTGGTAGTTGGGATTGGAATTCATATTCTAATGTGTTCTGATTCTAGTGCAGACATTAGGCGTAACTAACAGCACAAGAACCACACAAAACCATCGGTTGTTCATCTGCAAGTCTGGAGCTCTGTTTCGGATAGAAGTGGTATTGTCAAGAATCAAAGGTCCCGTGCCCCAGAATGTCAGATGCACCTATCACCGATACCAACTCGTCACTCCTACTGGGTGAGCAGACATGTCAACGGTTTACTCTTTCCGAGATTCAATTGGCAACAAACAACTTTGACGAGAATTTAGTCATTGGGAGCGATGGATTCGGCAACGTGTATAAATGTGATGTCAGCAAGATCGGGTGTGTAAGCGAAGTTGCAGTTAAACGGTTGCGTACCATGTCCAAACAAGGAGCCCATGAATTTGAGGCCGAAGTTAAGGTCCTTTCCAAGCTGCGGCATGCCAATCTTGTATCCCTTGTTGGTTATTGTATTGAAGGGAAAGAGATGGCCCTTGTTTACGAGTTCATGCCCAATGGTACTCTTAAAGATCATCTTCGCAAAGCTGATTGTGCCTTATCTTGGTCACAACGACTCAAGATATGCATAGGTGCAGCTCGGGGATTAGACTACCTTCACACAGGTACATCAACTCAACATGGAGTTATCCACCGGGATGTGAAGACTTCGAATATTTTGTTGGATGCAAAATTTGCTGCTAAAATTTCGGACTTTGGATTGGCCAAGGTTGGCCCAACAGATCAGACACGAACTTATGTGAGCACCAATGTCAAAGGGACATTTGGCTATTTTGACCCGTGCTACTACAATACTGGAAAATTGAATAGAAAATCTGATGTTTACGCTTTTGGAGTTGTATTGTTTGAGGTGTTGTCCGGAAAGCAGGCAGTAGATTCAACGCTTGATGAAGAGCAATGGGGTTTAGCACCTTGGGCTCAAAGCCAGATCAAAGAGGGAAAACTCAATCAAATTATTGACTCAAAACTGATGGGACAAATCTCTAATGCTTGAAGCAGTTTGTAAACATAGCATGCCATTGCTTATGTGACAAACAAAAAGAACGCTCTACCATGGCTGAGGTTGTCTTTAAGCTCGAATGTATTCTGTCAAAAGAAAGGGAAAACAAAGATTCTATCGTTAATGAAGAAAGATTCCTTTACAAGTTAAGAGCTTTTTTTACAGGCAAAGTTGACATTATGTTGGATCGGGAGGTAGCAAACAAATTATCTGTGATTCCCGGTGTTGCAGTAAGAAGCAACTCTGTAATGTCTGGTGTTGCACCAGGAAACGAATCTGTGATGTCTGGTGTTGTGGTAGGAAGAAATTCTGTGATGCTTGGTGGTGCAGTCAGAAGCAAATCTATGATGTCGGGTGTTGCAGTAGGAAGCAACTCTGTAATGTCTGGAGTTGCAGTAGGAAGCGAATCTGTGATGTCTGGTGTTGCAGTAGGAAGAAAATCTAAGGCGCTTGGTATTGCAGTCAGAAGAAGCAAATCTGTGTGATGTCTGGTGTTGCAGTAGGAAGCAAATCTGTGATGCCCGATGTTGCAGTAGGAAGCAACTCTGTAATGTCTGGTGTTGAAATAGGAAGCGAATCTGTGATGTCGGGTGTTGCAGTAGGAAGCAAATCTGTGATGCCCGGTGTTGTAGTAGGAAGCAACTTTGTAATGTCTGGAGTTGCAGTAGGAAGCGAATCTGTGATGTCTGGTGTTGCAGTAGGAAGAAAATCTAAGGCGCTTGGTATTGCAGTCAGAAGAAGCAAATCTGTGATGTCTGGTGTTGCAGTAGGAAGCAAATCTGTGATGCCCGATGTTGCAGTAGGAAGCAACTCTGTAATGTCTGCTGTTGCAATAGGAAGCGAATCTGTGATGTCGGGTGTTGTAGTAGGAAGCAAATCTGTGATGCCCGGTGTTGCAGTAGGAAGCAAATCTGTGATGCCCGGGTTGCAGTAGGAAGCAACTCTGTAATGTCTGGAGTTGCAGTAGGAAGCGAATCTGTGATGTCTGGTGTTGCAGTAGGAAGAAAATCTAAGGCGCTTGGTATTGCAGTCAGAAGAAGCAAATCTGTGATGTCTGGTGTTGCAGTAGGAAGCAAATCTGTGATGCCCGATGTTGCAGTAGGAAGCAACTCTGTAATGTCTGGTGTTGAAATAGGAAGCGAATCTGTGATGTCGGGTGTTGCAGTAGGAAGCAAATCTGTGATGCCCGGTGTTGTAGTAGGAAGCAACTTTGTAATGTCTGGAGTTGCAGTAGGAAGCGAATCTGTGATGTCTGGTGTTGCAGTAGGAAGAAAATCTAAGGCGCTTGGTATTGCAGTCAGAAGAAGCAAATCTGTGATGTCTGGTGTTGCAGTAGGAAGCAAATCTGTGATGCCCGATGTTGCAGTAGGAAGCAACTCTGTAATGTCTGCTGTTGCAATAGGAAGCGAATCTGTGATGTCGGGTGTTGTAGTAGGAAGCAAATCTGTGATGCCCGGTGTTGCAGTAGGAAGCAAATCTGTGATGCCCGGTGTTGCAGTAGGAAGCAACTCTGTAATGTCTGGAGTTGCAGTAGGAAGCGAATCTGTGATGTCTGGTGTTGCAGTAGGAAGAAAATCTAAGGCGCTTGGTATTGCAGTCAGAAGAAGCAAATCTGTGATGTCTGGTGTTGCAGTAGGAAGCAAATCTGTGATACTTGATGTTGCAGTAGGAAGCAACTCTGTAATGTCTGGTGTTGCAATAGGAAGCGAATCTGTGATGTCGGGTGTTGTAGTAGGAAGCAAATCTGTGATGCCCGGTGTTGCAGTAGGAAGCAAATCTGTGATGCCCGGTGTTGCAGTAGGAAGCAACTCTGTAATGTCTGGAGTTGCAGTAGGAAGCGAATCTGTGATGTCTGGTGTTGCAGTAGGAAGAAAATCTAAGGCGCTTGGTATTGCAGTCAGAAGAAGCAAATCTGTGTGATGTCTGGTGTTGCAGTAGGAAGCAAATCTGTGATGCCCGATGTTGCAGTAGGAAGCAACTCTGTAATGTCTGGTGTTGAAATAGGAAGCGAATCTGTGATGTCGGGTGTTGCAGTAGGAAGCAAATCTGTGATGCCCGGTGTTGTAGTAGGAAGCAACTTTGTAATGTCTGGAGTTGCAGTAGGAAGCGAATCTGTGATGTCTGGTGTTGCAGTAGGAAGAAAATCTAAGGCGCTTGGTATTGCAGTCAGAAGAAGCAAATCTGTGATGTCTGGTGTTGCAGTAGGAAGCAAATCTGTGATGCCCGATGTTGCAGTAGGAAGCAACTCTGTAATGTCTGGTGTTGCAATAGGAAGCGAATCTGTGATGTCGGGTGTTGTAGTAGGAAGCAAATCTGTGATGCCCGGTGTTGCAGTAGGAAGCAAATCTGTGATGCCCGGTGTTGCAGTAGGAAGCAACTCTGTAATGTCTGGAGTTGCAGTAGGAAGCGAATCTGTGATGTCTGGTGTTGCAGTAGGAAGAAAATCTAAGGCGCTTGGTGTTGCAGTCAGAAGAAGCAAATCTGTGATGTCTGGTGTTGCAGTAGGAAGCAAATCTGTGATGCCCGATGTTGCAGTAGGAAGCAACTCTGTAATGTCTGGTGTTGCAATAGGAAGCGAATCTGTGATGTCGGGTGTTGCAGTAGGAAGCAAATCTGTGATGCCCGGTGTTGCAATAGGAAGCAACTCTGTAATGTCTAGTGTTGCGGTAGGAAGAAAATCTGTGATGCTTGGTGCTGCAGTCAGAAGAAGCAAATTTGTGATGTCTGGTGTTGCAGTAGGAAGCAAATCTGTGAAGCAGGATGGTAAAGTTGTTAGCAAATCTGTGTTGGTAAGTGCAACAAATGATTTCAAAGACATGGAGCGTTCTCCAACTTCTTATAAATCCGTTTACAAAGGTTGGGTTGATGAAAAGTCATATGCACCAACAGAATGTGGTGTTGGCTTGGCAATATATGTTAGGAAGGAGGAGATTCTAACCTGGAAGGTACTTTCAATTTGTGATATATTCTAGCTTATATATTAAGGCACTGAATTACATTGACAATTTGGCTATGCAGTTGGACTTGAAACTATTAGAATTCAGTCATCCCAATATTACCAGACTTTTGGGATATTGCTTGTCTAATGTAACGATGTTTTGGGTATACGAGCTCTTTCCAGGGATATGCTTAGATGATCTTTTATTCAAAGGTAAGCATATCTGCTATTTTTACTTGTGTAGAACCCTTCATTTGTTAATGAATTCAACTTGTTAATATATCCAAACAATAAACATGTATGATCCTGCTTTTTGAGTGTCCTGGCATAAACTGGCTTTGAGTGATGGTTGTGTAAAATATATGTTATGGTATATGCAAAGCCAGATACAACTATACTTTCTTGGGCTGCACGATTGAAAATAGCACAAGGGGCAGCTCAAGGCATGTCTTTCTTCCATCGGAGGAATCGTCCAGCGTATAATAGTTTTGATGGCAATCATGTATTGGTGGACAGGGTAATGTAGACTGCCTTTGACTTACTTGCATTTTGCATGGAAAAAGTAACGTCAATTTTGGTTTATCTTTTCTTGCTTATTTTCAGGATTTTAATGCTCGGCTTTCGGATTATGAAATAGACAATTTACTTGCCCCACCTGGCTGCTCTACTTTTGAAAGAAACAAATCGGATGGTATTTTTGGACCTGTGCCCGGAGATGGTATGTTCTTTTGTAAAAATGAAGTTTTCTGTACATTCTCAATATATATGGGAAAATGTTGAAATACTCTATTGAACTAACTATTGGCCTAGTCTAAGTCTCATTTAAATCATTTATCTTTTTTTTTCCCTATTTTGAGTCATTGAAGTATTCTTTTTTGTCATTTGTTAGTCCTTATTTACCCCGAACTGCAGGTTTCCCTTGTGACTTTCTTTATGTTTTCCTGATTTTTAATACGATTGAGGTGGGCTATTATTCTGACAGTGGTGGGCTATTGTTCTGACAGTTATACATAGCATATTTGGTGTTATTCTTAAGGTAGTTATTTCCAACCACCAAATGAAAAGGTATAATGGTTAGGTGCAAGGGTTGCAATGGTTGAAGTTATGTGCTTGCTTACTTACTTTCAACTTTTCATTTTAAATGAAATTTATAACAATTTTCTAAAACAAACATTCTTTTAGTGTTCCCTATAGTTTGTTAAGTCCTTTTATAGTACAATGATTTTAACTAATCCCCTTATAAGAGTTTTAGTCTTATAACACCATTAACCATTTTATATGCATATGTATACATTCATTTTCTGATAACAAGGGGCAACTTTTTTTTTCTTCCAAAAACAGTACCTTTATAAGTATTTCTGAAAACAAGGGCGTTACAATATACAAATACACACATGCATTAAAACTTGAAGGCATCGACATGTCTAAGAACTCATTTATGCCCAACGACTAAAATTCTGAGTTATTTGTGGAAAGATTATCAACTGATCAATCAAACACCTCTTTGGCAGAAACCGGAGTGCAGAGTGAGATCTATGATTTTGGAGTGGTACTGCTGAAAATGCTAACAGGGATGAAGAAGTATGACGAAAGGATACCTCTCCAACAGAAAAATTTGATGGAATGGGCTACTCCATTACTAGCGAATAAGGTAAATTTGTGGAATGATTATGGACCCTCAACTTCAACATAATGATCATCCTCCAAAGGGTGCATTTGCGTTGGCTCAACTTGTTACAAAGTGTCTTCAACCAACTCGAGACAAAATCTTTCAATTGAAGAAATCTCCCAAGTCTTGTATCAGTGTTATCAAAATGAAATCACATCGGGTTGACTCTGAAATATCAAATACAATTGTTCTTATGTAAATAAAAAAAATACAATTATTCTTATGTAAATAAATATAAGAAAGTAAAGTGTACGATGCTGCAAATATTAAAAAGTGTGAAGACTTGACCTCTCACTCGTCTACTTCTGCTTTCATGGGCCAGAGTGTTGTCTTCTGTTCTCTTTTCTATTAACCTTCTAATGTGTGACATTATTTTGTAGGGATACAGTATTATTAACATCCGGACACTATTTCTTACCAATTTAAAGATGAAGCTTCATCTAATGAACACATGCTCTAATGAGTTGCCCGTTATCTTTATATTAGCTTAATTCACGATTCACCAAAATAAACCAGTTGTATAAATTACTTATGCTTCCATCTCTTGAAGTTGATCCTAATCCACATTTGTTACAACCATTGGCATGGGACAGAAAAGGTAGGAGTCGAACACTAAAAATCATGCACATGCTTGTTAGATCTCCATTAGACGTTTATCATTTCTAGATCGACCCTAATTTCATGAAGCTGGAGACATGAAGTAGATAAGAATTTCTTAATTGTATTTGATCATCGTTTTCAAACTACAAACGTTAATGTGTGGACTAATGTTCTAGGAGAGATTTTTGTCGTGTCGATTTCCAAGAGATAAATGTTTGAGCCAAGATAAAGTATGTAAGCAGTAGTTGAACGACCTCCATTCGAGACCCCTCCCCAATATGAGTCCAAAAATGATTTGAGATTCAGAGAGTTCCACTTTTTGTGAAATAATCCATTATGAATTGTAACCTTTAAGTAGCAAAGAACTCATTTCAATCTAGCCAATGAATCTGAAGTGGGAGCATGCATAACCTGGGAAAAACGATTAATGGCAAACGATACGTTTGGCCGTGTGAAGGCCTAATACTATAATTAGCCCACCGGAAAACCAGTTTCCGATCAGGTGTAGGATCAACACTAGGTGACCCATCCATGGAGTTGAGAACGATATAAGAGTTTAGTGGAGTCGCCACATCTTTTGCACCATCCATATGAAAATTGGTTAAGAGATCTTGAATACGGCGATGTTGGGACAGAAATAGGCCATGAGATGTGGGAATAACTTCAATTCCAAAAAAGTGGTGGAGAGAACAAAATCTTTAATAGAGAAGGGATTTGCTGAGGTATGAATGAAGTTTGTAAGAAATGCATTATTGTTTTTTGTGAGTACAACGTCATCCACATAGACCATAAAGAAGCAGATGATGTTGTTCTGATTATAAATGATTAGAGAGGCATATGCTTAGGATTTACGAAAACCACAAGTGTGGAGGAAGGATGTGAGTTCCATGTACCTGGCCCGTGGTGCCTGCTTTAAACCATATAAAGACTTTATGAGCTTACAAACATGATTTGGGAACTAAGGATGAACAAAGCTTGGTGGTTAGGTCATGTAGACCACTTCATGTAGAGCACCATGAAGGAAAATATAATTAAAATCAAGTTGGCCTAGTGGCCAATTTTGTGAAAATGAAATAGATATAATGATAAGTATGGTTATCGTTTTGGTGAATGGACCGAAGGTATCAAAATATTCTTGTCCATATTCTTGAAGGAATCCTTTAGCAACCAAACGAGCTTTGTATTTAGAGATGGTTCCATCCGGATTTTTGTTTGATCCAGAAGACCCAATTACAACCAATGGGGTTGTGGGAAGCTTTAGGAACTAGTTCCCAAGTTCCATTTTACATAAGAGCATTAAATTCCTGGTTCATGGCTTGTCTCCAGTTTTGGTCTCTAAGAGCTTGGTTATACGTATTGGATTTAAGGGTGGGGGGAATAGGATGAACTGTGGTGGAGTTTATGAATGAGGGATTTAAATATTTTTGATTTTGTTTTCTGATTCTTTATGGAAGTGGTGAGGGGTGGGTATGGAGGTGGTAGATACAGTAAGAGAGGTGGTGGGAGTGTGTGTAGTAAGAGTAGAAGGAGAGGTTGGTGTGAGGTCCTTTAGTTGGATAGGAGGAGGTTGATATTATGGAATGGTGACAGATGGGTCAATAGTGGACTTTGTAGTTTGAGTGGGGCGAGTGGGAGACGTTGGGGAAGGATCGGCAAGGGGAGTAGTAGATAAATGTAGAGTAGATACATGAGAAGGTAAAGAAGTAGGATGCATATGAGGTGTTTATGACTATAAGGTGGACAAGGTGGATGAAGTAGAAATTGGGAAAGAAGTGGTGGGTGAATATGTGACAGGAATAAAGGTATCATCATGATAGGAATAAAGGTATCATCAGTGGGTAGGATAGGAGATTTGGTGGCATGATAGGGGAAATTAGTTTCTATAAAAATCAACATGACGAGAGTGATAGAGACGTCTGGTGATTGGATCGAAGCATTTATAGGCAGACTTGGAAGTCGAATAACCAAGAAAAATGTGTGGGATGGACCTTGGTTGAAAGTTGGAGGTAGTGTATGGTCTAAGCCACGAAAAACAAAGGCATCTAAATGATTTTAACTTATTGTAGTTTGGTGGTTGATGAAAAAGACATTGAAAGGGGATTTGCTTATTGATAATGGGTGTGGGAAGACGATTTATGAGATAGACTGTAGTTTGGGAATCATGAGTCCAGTAGGTAAGAGGAAGGTGGGCATAATGGAGTAGGGCAAGACCCGTCTCAACAATATGGCGGTGACGGCGTTCAACTACATCATTCTGTTCACGGGTGTGAGGTGGGGTAGTGTAGCGAGATATGCCATTAGCTTGTAGAAAATGGGGGTAGCACAAGGTTTTTGAAGAAAGAGACTAGGTCGGAAGTTGTGAAGTGAGAGATTGGATTGGCGGCTCTTTGGAGCTTGTACGCTATGATAGCATATAAAGGTAAAGGAGATAGAATGTGTATGTATATATTTTTTACACAGAAATAATTTCAAGGATTGGCTTAATATAGCCGATCATTACAGTAGGAAGAAATCAATCTAGGAGAGAAATTAGGGATACATATCAACTTGGATTCTATCCTACACCAACATTTAGTCACATACCACTACCCCTGGCATATGATCTTCCCACTGCTTGCCACTTGCAAATCTTACCATTATTCACAACATTTCCACACTTTGAACATGTAACTGACTTAGTCCTTCTAAAAACTCTAGCACCATCATCTTCTCTAGAAACTCTTATTCTTTTCTTTTTCGGCCTACCAAAAGGCACATGATGTTTTGATGGTAGTAATAGATCAACAGTGTACTGAAGAAAAAGGTAATTTCTCAACTTATAAAAATCAGATTTTTAGAAATAAACAGCAACCGATCGTGCTCTCCTAGTTCTATGGCCCATTTTGCAAGGTGTCCGGATGTCTCTGGTTTTAAGAGTACCTGCTTGATCGGACAACTGGTCAATACTTCTATTTGGTGGGCCTGAAAGTACCGGCGAAGTCGCCGAGCTGCGTAGATTAAGGAGAGCACCTGCTTCTCGATAATTGGGTAGTTGATTTCTGGTCCCTACAAGGCCATGCTCACAAAGTAGACCGGAAGCTGTGTTCCTTGCCTTTCGACTAAAATGAAATAGTGTCCTTTGATGCAGATAGGTAGACCTGCAACGTCTCGCCTGGTACCGGGCTGGCTAGCGTAGGGAGCGTGTGCAACGCGGATTCAGCCTCCGACGTCCATCGAAAGTTGTTCTTCTCAATGCATCCCTTGAGCGTGTGAAATAGAGGCATGGCTTTCTCGGCTGACTTAGAGATAAAAGGATTGAGCGTTGTTAGTTTACCGTTCAGCCCTTGGGCATCCCTTAGTGTGCTTGGCGAGAGTGTGTCTTTAAGCTCATCGATTTTGACTGGGCTCAGCTGGATTCCTTCCTTTGTCACATAGTAACCCAGGAACTGCCCCTCTTCTACCCCAAAGGTACATTTTGTGGGATTCATTTTCATCTTAACCTTTTCCATGGTTCGCAATGTCTCCTCCATGTCGTGCAACAGTCTCTGTTCGTCTGGGCTTTTGATGACCATGTCATCGACATAAACTTCGATGTTTCTGCCGATTGGATTGGAAAACAGAGAGTCGACCAGCCGCTGGTAGGTTGCTCCAGCATTCTTTAATCCGAATGGCATTTTTGTATAGGAGAAAGCGCCATGATCTATGTAGAAGGCTATCTTCTCTTTGTCGTCCTTGCTCATTAAGATTTGATGATATCCCTTGTATGCATCCAAGAAACACTTCCACTGGAACCCTTGTAGAGACTCCATCTTTTGGTCTATTTCCGGCAATGGGTAGTAGTCTTTGGGGCACTCCTTGTTGTGGTCTGAGTAGTCAATACACATGCGCCAACTACCATCATGTTTCTTGTCCATTACTGGGTTGGCGATCCATGTTGGGAAAATCGTTTCCCTGAGGATCCCAGATCAACTTGGCCACTTCTGCATTAATTGCCTTGTTTCGATCTCCTCCCTGGACTCGCTTCTTTTTTACCTCTTTGGCCCCTAGCTTTATCATTATCTTGTGTTCTATAATCCCCCGGTCGACCCCCACCATGTCTATGGGCGTCCAAGCGAACATGTGTTTGTATTTTTGTAGCCGTCGGATCAACGCTTGCCTTACTGCCGCAGGGAGGGCAGTTCCCACGTTTACTTGCTGACTTGGGTACTCCCTGTTGATTATCTCCTCCCCCCCCCCCCCCCGCTCGATGAATCCGTCTTCGGCCGTTTGGCCTCGGTTGAAATGTCCTTTGGTTGCATAATCTCATAGCATTTGAGCTCATTTGGAGGGGTGGCTAGGATTGTCCCGGGGCCATGGCTCGTGCTGAACTTTACTATTCCATGAATCGTTGATGATATTTCCTCAAAATTTAGTAGGGCGGTTCGTCCCAATATGACATTGTGCTCAGATGGGTGTCGTATGACCACGAAATCAACAAGGGTGGTCCGCCGCTTGGTCTTATCTTGACTAGTAAGTGTGAATGGTAAGTGGATCGTACCTAAGGGCCACAGGCTGTGCTCTGTGAATCCTGTGAGCTAGCCTGCCGCTGGTCTCAATCCCCCCTTCCATGCATTCGGCAGTAGCTGGAAGCAATGCTCGTAGATGATGTCTGTGGAACTCCCCGTGTCGACGTATACCCGGTGGATCATGGTATCTCGAATGGACCCCTGTATAACGAGGGGGTTGTCTCTTTTCCACCCACCTGGGCTTGGGTCGGTTGTAGAGAAAGTTAACACTTGCATGGTTTCCGTAATGCTTCGCACGCTGTTTGTGCACTCCGTTCTCCCCCGCTTATGGTGGATCATGAGGATCTCTTGTAGGTAATCAACCCCCACGATATTGTCTTTAGGGTTTTCTGTGTCGAACTTAGCTCACAGAATTTTGGTGATTTCTATCACGTTTCCCTTCAACTGCTTTTCCTCCATTTCTCAGTTTAAGACCGAGCAGTTCGTGGTGTCGTGCGTCCTACTCTTGTGGTATTCGCAATATCGCGTCTTTGTACCCTTTGCTAGTGGTTTTTCGGTGACGACATAAACTTCTGCTCACCTTCCTCGCCTTTCATCCCTCGCGAAAGGTCTGAATCGTCCATGTGGTCGCCTGTCTCGTCCTGAGAACCTACCCCCCGGGAGTCGTTGTGGGAGGTTGACTGGTGGTGTCGTTTCCTAGCCGAGGAAGACATGGCGTTGAGGTGTGCTTGCTTTGATGCTTCACCTTCTTCTTGGCGTAAGAAACGCTCCTCTCGCTCTTTTAGTTCTGCCCTTGTCTGAGGTTGTTTGCCCTTAAGTTTCTGGGATAGCGAACCCGGAAGTAGCCCCCAAGTAAACGCTCCTGCAATCAATCCTTCATCGTGCCCTGGGACGTCTAGTGTTGCCTTGGTGAACCTAGTGAAGTAGTCCTTGACTGTTTCCCCTCCCTTTTCTTACACCCGATAATGGAGTGACAATCGCCTTTGTATTTTCGGAGTTGCATGAAGTTGGTTAAAAAGAGGTATTTCAGCTGGCTAAAGTTGCAGATGCTACCAGGGCGTAACATTTTGAACCATGTCCCTACGTTGCCGTCTAGGGTGGTAGGGAAATATGTGCACCAGAAACGTTCGTATAGCTTGAGGGACGTCATCGTCCATTCGTATGTGTCGATGTGGCTGTTCGGATTTGTGGTGCCGTCGTATGTTTTGAGGTGAGGTACTTTGGCGATGTTGGGGATCTTATATTCCAACAATTCTTTCACATACGGTGATGTGACACTGCGTGAAAGGAAGTCTTGGTTCGGAGTCCGTTGGGCAAAGTGGTATCCTGGTTGTTGCATTGCCAAGAATGGTTGTACCAACATGTTATTTTAGGCCGCAAGGTCTGGTGGTGTTGGGCCATAGAAGTTCTGTGGATGGAATGGGGTGGGAAACGTGTGGGCCATGGGGATTTGCTGGTAGGGCGTGAATGGCGGTGCCGACATGGCTCCTGTCACTAGCGGTTGATGGTTTTACGCTTGGAGAACGACGCTTGGGCCATTAGCGGTGTTATTCCACGGTGTTGTGGGCGTGAGCGAGGGCATCCCGTTCAACGGTGGTGTTATGAGTGTCGTTTGCCGTTGCCCATTTGTGGTGTGCATGGGTGGTGGTAAGAAACTGTAACCGACGTTGTTTAATCTGCCGGTGTTGGGGAAACACAGCGGAATAGGAGGTGAAATGGGCGGATTCGGTCCACCGTCGTTATGGAACAACGGCGGGGTTACGCTATTCAGTGTGGGTATTGGTATGTGGGTTGTGACGGAAGGCGCAGCTGTTGCAAGGGAAGGTGGCGGGCCACCGGATGGTGGTGCCTCAGAAGCCGCACCGGTCATCTGAGGTGGTGGTTTTATTGGGGTGTTGGCTGTCTCTAGTGATACCATTGGGCGTATCGGGCTATGTAGTGTTTTTGATGGCTCGCCGGCGGCCTCGTCCGTCATTTGTGGTTGTGTTAAAGAAAAAAAATGGGTTTTCGTATCTATTGTCACACAAACGGATGTCGCTAAATGATGTGACCTGGTCTCCGACCACCTTGGGGGTGAAAGTTGTGCTCGTCGGAGGAAAACCTGGGAGGTCACAAAGAGAGAAAGCCATCAGCCGTTCTCCTGGAGGAGATCCCGAAAAAACGCTCCGACAGTCAAGTTAGTAGTGTATTGGAGATGAAAAGGCTGATAATCGACAGAGATAGCTTACCTCTCAAGGCGGGATGATGGTCCTTTTATACTGAGGATCCTCCTCGGTCCGTACGAGGAACAAGGACTGCGATCCCAACAAGATCCGCTGTCATTATTGGTGAGTCGTGTTCCTCGTTGTGTCAGGTCTAACGATTGGTCCAGGCGATAATGCTCTGGATGTACTCCTTGTCGCCTAGATCCGTTATCCTTGGACTGTAGTGGAGGGTGGCCTTTGGCGGGAAAAGGATTTCCTAGCGGTCGTCCTGCTAGAGCGCCCGACAGCTGGGGGTTCGACTGGGGCGCCTAGCAGCTGGGATGGCCAAGTTGGGCCTGGCCGGGCCTCGCTGGGGATTCTCAGCTGGAGGTTCCTTGTTGGGGATTCTCTTAGCCCCGGCCCGTTCTAAGCGGCGTGTCATCAAGTCCCCCAGTCCAGTAGGCATAATGTTTGCTAGCTAGCTATGATGTTCTGGACTTAACTGCTGGTATACGTGTCGCGCTCGTGTTTGGTCGTCGGTTCATTTTCGGCAATGTGACTGCTCGACGTGCTTGGCGGTTACGTCATCCGTGTCAGGGATTTTCGTAAATCCCGCTCTTTCCCATCTATAACTTGCAGAAAAGGTTTCCCTGATCTTTTACCTTCCTCCTTCGTTTCTTCTTCCTTCTCTTCTTTTTTCGGTATCTTTTCTATGGCTTGCTCAATGGGTCTGGTCCCTAGTTCTTCCGAGTTTGCCACTCTTCAAGAGGCTTATGGCCTTACTCCGGCCGATGGAGTGGAGTTCCTGACAGCTGGGGTTGTGATTACTCCGCTGCCGCCTGGAAAAGTGGGCGTTTATATGAAGACTTTTGATGCCAGTCTTCTTCTTCCTTTAACTGACTTTCAAGAAGAACTGATCTGTCGCAATGGCTGCAGCATTCAGATGGTGACCCCTAGTGCTATTCACAAGTTGGTAGCCTTTGAGATGATATGTCGGGCTAACGACATTGTTCCCGATTTCTTTGTCTTCAAGTTCTTTTTCCAGTTGCAGCTACCAACAACAAGTATACTTTTTTTCTCGCCGCGGAGGTCACAACCTTGTTCTTGACAGCAAGCCGCCCAAGAATTGGCAGGATAGGTGGCTGTGGGTTAACCGGGATCTGCTTGGCCGGGAGTACCACCGGGCAAATGCTTTGTCAGATGTTACCCCTAAATTGTTTCCCCATAACCAGACGACCGCTGATCTCTTACGCACCCTTCAAGTTGACATTGATGTGTTATCGGAGGTGTTGCTTGCAGGCGTTGGAATGAGTCACAGTAGGCGTTCCCGGAGGGAAATGCCAATCTTCTACATTGTCTCTAATGGTGAGTTGTTCTGACTTTCCTTCTTCCTAATGCCCCCCCCCTTTCAGAAGAAAGAAAAATGTTTCAGGCTTTCGTTGTTGTTTTTCGCAGGTACCGAATGCACTGTATCCATGGACTCCATCCTACGAAAGTGGTACCAGGGGAAGTTAGAGCACCAGGTGGCACCTCTTCACGAGGTTCTGCCTCCTCCCCGTCATTTGAGTGCCCCTACTATGGCATCGTCACAGCCAATGGGAAGCTCCTCTGCGATGGGGGACCAGCCGGCTCCAGGTGTTTCCTTGTCCCCTGCCCTAATACCTTGCCCATTGGGCGAGGCTTTGACTGAGGATGTAGTGGATAGTAAGGATGGGATCATTGCCAGTGTCCGTCATGTTGCAGAGAAACGGAAAGCTGCCCAGGCTATGAGTGAGCTGGTGTCCGGGGGCAGTTCTGGCCAGATTAGCAGGCATGTGGTGCAACGTCGTGGGCTTAAGCACCTGCTATCTTCTGCGCCGTCTCATAATGGAGATGTTTTGGTAATACCCGATGATGACGTTCAACAGTCTGAGGTGTTGAAAAGGCGTCCCAGCAGCCTATTGTTCCTATTGTGATTGCTTCGAGTCTGTGCGCCAGTCCTCAATCTTCAAGGGATAGCGCCGAGTGGTTGCACCATGAGTCTTCCGCTGCAGGGTCTTTTCGTGGTGCTTCCGTCCTTGTTCTGGGATGGAATCTTCGTGCCGATTCCCATTTGTCTGTTCGTTCTGCTGCTTTGGAGTTTACCCAACATGCCCTTCCTCCTACTACTATTTAGGATATGGATGCGATGAACAATGCCGCCCTTTCCCACAACATGGCTTATGCTGCAGGCTATGGCTTATCTGGCCGCTGGCTCTCGGCAAGTGCAGCGGTTTGACAGTTTGGAGCGTGCACATTCTGCTTTGGTGGCGAGCGAGGTGAGTTTGAAGGGGCAGGTGGCAGAGCTTGAAGTTGTTGCTCATCTATTGGAACAGAAAAACAAGTCATTGGTGTCAGAGAAATTGGTGCTGGAGGACGTTCGGAGCTCGTTGGAGGCTCGACTGGAGTCGCTGACGCAAACGAATGAGGTTCCGATGATCCAGAATGAGAGCCTGGAACGCGACCTTGTTGACCGTGATCGCGAGTTGGAGACATTGAAAACGGGTCGCGATTGGCTATTTCAGGTCGGGCTTGTGCGTGTGATGGATAAGCTCATAGAACACCATGAATTTGATGGGGGTATCAGCCGCATTCGTCATGATACGTTTGTTGCAGGTGAGGAATCGGGTCGAGCAGGTTTGAAGGCACAAGTTGAAGCTAGGCCCCGTTCCATCTAATCTTTCCAAGCCCACTAATGGCCCAATTTTCTAAATTGGGCCCAACTCCTCAAATGGGCCTTCCCTAAGCCCAACATGTCCTTAGCCCAACAACTGACTCCTGATGGCCCACTAAGGCCCAAAAGATAAGTAGTCCAAAGATTGGCCCAAACTGAGGCCCAAATGACGTGAAGCCCGAAATCAGTGAGTACGCAAGCCGTACTCCTCTGTACACTAAGCGTACAGGTTGCATGGCTTGTACGCCCAACGTACTACCCTGTTAAGCCATAAACTTCAAAAGGGCTTAATCCCTTAAGACCGCAAGCTCCAAACACAGATTTGAGTCCACTAGAGTATCGTAATCCATAAAGTCGATTACTTGGTGGCTTGCAACCCACCAAATGGACCCAAACTTGGAATATAGCAACTAACTTCCATGGAAATGACTAGAACTCATGCATGGTCACAAAAGGGCCTTAAAGATCGAAACTTTACTGTTATTGGGACTCATATAGCACTAAGGGTGGCAACCCTAAGCCTAGATACGAAGTTGAACCGTAAAAATCCATTCATGGGACCTAAAAAGGTCCAAAACTCCATTAACATAGATCTAAGCTTTCATGAGGCAAGTTGAAAGCTTTTTACCTCAAATGAGTGCCAAATGGTGATGTTATCTTGGATCCTTGAGCTCAAGCTACTCAAGTTCTTCCTCTTAAACTTTTTCTTTCTCCTTTCAAGCTTCTAAACACCACAATGAACTTCACAAGGGCCAAAAACACACAAGGATGAGGAATGAAAGGCTATCTAGGGTTTCTCAGGTTGAGAGGCTGGTAAGGAGGCTAGGGTTTGAGTCATAATGTTGTATTTATATGGCTTAAACCCTAAAAATTAGGGTTTTGAGCTTACTTGCGTATGCTGCGCGTACACCTAGGTACGATAGGAGTACGCACCTCCGCCCCCCGCATCCAATGTTGCACTACGCCCTGCGTACACCACACTTATGCCCATCGTACGTCTTTGGGTAGCCTAATCCTATCAGCCCACTTGCTAAAGTCCACTCAATAATGCACGTATATGTTTCATAGCACAACAATTAAATACAAAGATATTAAATAATTATTACCTCAAGTGACGGATGTTACAATTCTCCCCCACTTGAATCAGACTTCGTCCTTATAGTCCGCCACGCCTGGAAATAACTTCGGGTAGTGCTCCCTCATCTCTTCCTCGAGTTCCCAAGTCTACTCCGAGCTCTTGCGGTGCTACCACTGCACCTTCACCAGCTCTGCCCTCTTGTTCCTCAGCTCTTTCGTCTTCCTGTCGAGAATGGCTACCGGTCTCTCGATGTAGTTCTGGCTGTCATCAACCTGTATATCCTCGAAAGGCACAATTGCGGAGTCATCCACTAAACACTTCCGCAGCTGAGAGACATGAAAAGTGTTATGGATCTGGCTGAGCTGTGTTAGAAGATCCAAACGATATGCAACCCGGCCCACCCGAGCCAAAACCCTGAACGGACCGATGTACCTGGGCCCATCTTGCCCCGCTTCCTAAACCGGATGACACCCTTCCAAGGTGACACCTTCAGGAGAACCATGTCGCCTACCTGAAACTCCAAGCCTGAACGGCGCTTGTCGGCATAACTTTTCTGCCAACTCTGAGTAGTCTGGAGCCTGCTCCGGACCTGCTAGATCTCCTCCGTGGTCTTGAGTACCACCTTAGTACTCTCCATGACTCTCTGACCGACCTCACCCCAACAGATTGGGGTCCTATATTTCCTCACGTAGAGTATCTCGAAGGGAGGTCGATTGTTATACGAAAATTCCGCTAACGGAAGATACGTATCCCAACTGCCTCCAAAATCCAATACGCACGCACGCAACATGTCCTCTAGAGTCAGAATTATCCTCTCACTCTGCTCATCAGTCTGAGGGTGGAAAGTGGTACTGAAGTGTAGACGAGTACCCATCTCGTCATGGAACCGCTTCCAAAATATGGAAGTGAAACGAACATCTCGGTCTGACACAACCGAAACCGGCACTCCATGTCATGCCACTACCTCACGTACGTAGATCTCGGCTAGCTTCTCAGCCGATACGCTCTCCTGGATTGGGATG